TGAGCTGAAAACAAACTTGCCATATTATCTCTGGGTGTCGAATGCCCCATGATGCATTGTACTGGTGTCAGATGGAATGAATTTCCTTCGCTTAAAGAGGCCAACATCTGGCTTCATTCTGTCCCAGAGTTCCATTGAGGGCGATGGTATTGCGAGATTGAGCTAGTTGAGTGCAGAAAAGTTGCTGGGTCTTCGCTTTGAGAAATTTCTGGATATCGGTCTGAAACCGATTCTCTATTTTTGTTGCTTCGTCTTCCTTCTCGATTACCTCCAGGATGGAACTTGCATGAAACTCTTTCATCGCCTGGCCGCAAAGGGTCCCCGATGGTCTGCACTAAACAAGAGGATATGATACAAGATAAAATAATGAAGAAGCATGAACAAGATACAAAAGGCTGTTTTTCAAGCACAATTCACTGGTGAAGAGTCTCAGGCACGGCAAGCCTTGTGCTGCTCTCGCCTGATCTCGCTGTAACCTCAGACCCAGCCCAAACATCTACGCATATCTACGCTGTTCCATGTTTAAAACGTTTGAAGCATTATAAGCGTTGCTCTCAAACTCACAGAACAAAACCGTGTCCAAATAAGATACACCTCCAAATTTAGGTCGTTTCGTCATTCCCAGAGATTCTAGATACAATGCGTGCATCATGTTGGATCTACCTATCCTGATTTCTGCTCGTGGAATTTGGCCGTGGAGTCTCACAGTGTCTCCATGCTGACTGTGACTTTGAAGCTGAAATCTATACATAATATAATTACACACATATATCTACACATGCATATAGTTATGTATACATCCCGTGTTGACTCTGTCCGGTCTGTCCACACCGTTCCATTTTTCTTTTCATTTTTTCATTTTTCCTCGAACTGTCTGAATCTGTCTGGGTTTGTTTTCAAAGCATTCTGCATACGCACGTGTGTGTGTGTGCGCGCGTTTCGCAAACAGAGGCACTACAATCCGAGAGCTTTGGTTTTCTTTCAGCCTCAGTATCTTGGACAACAAACGGAAAAATGGTGCAAAACATATCTTGAAGCGTCTTCGCATGCCAAAGGGGTTCTATTGCAGACTTCTCAAGTTTGGAGCCATCAAGGATGGAGTTTCAAAACGCTGCAGACAGGTTGTAACAAGATTGCCACTGTGAATACTACACTGACTATACTACCCTTCCTGCGCTGAATCATCTCATATACATCCTCAGAAGGCTCACTGATTTCGATTCCCAGTCCTCGTTCACGTTCACCTGGAGCTTAATCATATCATTCTGCGAACGCAAGTGCACCACCTCACCTTCCATCTCTCTTAGTCCCTTTTGCAAAGCATCAACGCTTTTTTGCAGGACATTCACCTTGGGCCGCGGAAGATTTGACCATATTTGACCTATTTCCTTGCAAAACAAAACAGGCCAAATTAGATAAATACAATTACATTGATAAATTTACACCAGCAAAATTAATAAAGGTCCCCCGCACACTGCTAGTCACTGCCATCAAAATCAGATACGTACACGTTTAAACTATGGTAGACTTCCAAGAAATCTGTCGCACCTCGTTGAAGTGTTCTTGCAGCAGCGCGTCCATAAGAGACTTAAATTTTGACCTTTTCGACCCTCGGCACTCCGAGGAATTCTCTCCTGATCAGATAGACTTCGCTCATCTTCGCTCATGAGTCATGTTCGGCTGTTCGACTCATGTACGACTCACATCTACTTGACATTTGGCTATATCTGGTTCCTTTTGAACGCATGATGATTATATATTCTTGGACTCTCATTGGCGAGCCTTCCCAGTGTCCCTGTACAGGAAACGGAAGTGGCGGTAGAGGTTCGTCAGGTTCTCCTGGCGCGCAAAGATTTGAACAACGAGAAAACAAATGAACACAAAACTTGAAAATGAACCTGCCAAAAATCCCAAAAATTGATCGTTGGCTAAACTAGGTGAGAACCCTTCTTTTGGAGCGTTGGCAAATTTGATCAAATTTGCGCATGATTGTGAAAATGCCACGCATTTATTGAATTCTGCATTGTCTGATTCTTATAAGAGAAACCTGTGTGGTAAGCCTTTCGAACGTTTCACAAGCAATTGCGTTCTTGTTTTCTTTCCGTGACGACTGCGTCTTATCATGAACGCAAAAAATGGTTCATTCATTGTCTCTTTAGCATGTTGCAGATTCCTCTCAAAAAATTGGCCGGGTTTTTCTCAGAGATCACTGATCACTTGTCTCCACCATCCACGCGAGCTTGGCATGTTCATCGATCTGTGCAGAGATATGGAAACCACCGGGCAAAAAAATATTTGCTGGATTCGCGTTGCCGATCGAACATTTGTGTTCCTGTAAGAGACGTTTGTTTTCTTGACGTGTTCCCAACTCAGATGTGATCTGCTTATGTGGGTGTGATATCTGCGCGCGCCTCATTTCACTCAGTGGAAGAGTGAAGAGCGTAGTAGCATGGCAACCACCCACCCACCCATCCACCCACCCCAACCCCCCCACCAAACACCGCCCGAAAGACTCGTGGGAACATGACAATGGTGTAGCATATGGCAAAAACACACGGCAGTCTATGCCCTGGGCGCCGTCTACTCCGCTGCCATGGGTTTGGCACCTAACAAAATCTGTCAAGTGTGGACTTATGATGCATGTGTATAAATTTATGGTCAACCGAAATTTAGATGTCTAAATTCCGCTTATGGATGTTCGAAAATGAAGAAAACCAACCACCACAATCACCACCATCATCATCATCATCATCATCATCATCATCACAATCACCGCCATCATCGCAATCACCACCATCACCTCATCACCGCATCACCCCATCACCTCATCAACACATCACCGCATCACCACATCACCTCATCACCACGCCACCTCATAACCTCATCACCAGATCATCACCGCATCCGCCGCATCACCACATCACCTCATCAACTCATCACCACATCACCAAGTGCTTCATCAATTTGCAAGGCAGTGATGGTAGATCGCGGTCGAATTGCTGTGTGAAGGTGGTGCTGGTGAGGATGGAATCGCACGAAACCCCGTGTTTCTTCTCGCGCAAAATGCATCCCGGCGTCGATGTGGGGAACCTGTCCGTGCGACGGCCCGGCCGTGATCAAGCGTGCTCGGACGCGTTATATCACTGTAAAAATGAAGTTGGGGGCGCGGATCGCACTGCCATGTAGTGACTGCTTCATGTTTGTGTTTGCAGTCTTGGGTGACGAAATTGTTTTGGGATTTGCAAGGCAGTGATTGCTCATCGCAGTGGCATGGCTTCGTGGGGGTGATGCTTGAACAAAACTTCATAAAACGCGCCTCGGCGGCGCTGTGAAGAACCTTCTGTGTGCCCGGACCATGTGCAGCACAGAGGGGCTGCACACTGAAACGCACAGACCAACACAAACAAACACAAAAGGATGTCAAGAAACTCATGAGACGTCAAAACACACAGGTCCTGAGGACAGCATGAAGAAGAGGAAGTCAAGAGAAAGTGCATTTGACGGAGAATATGATCCAGAAAGGAGCAGAGAAGTGAAGAGGGTACGGATGAAAGAGAGTGAGGACATGAAAAGAGTAGGGAAGTGCAGAGTATGGAGACATGAAAAAGTAGGGAAATGAACAGAGACAGGACACCAAGAGAGTAAGGAAGTGAAGAAAATAAGAAAATGAAGCCCGTAGGGACATGAAGAGAATAGGAAGATGAAAAAAAGAAGGGAAGTGGCAATACTATAAAAGAATAGACAAGTGCAAACACACTAGGGCAGCGAAGAGGGGAGAAGTGAGCAGGGAAATGAAAAGAGTAAGGAAAAAGAGGAGGATAGGGATGAAGAGAGTAGGGCGTGAAGAAAGCAAGGAAGTGGCGGGACTAGGGGGAGGAAGAGACTAGGGGAGTGAAGAGTGGGGAAGTGAAGAGACTATATAGTGAAGTGAGAGTAGAGAAGTTTGTTGGGAAAGAATTGTGTCAGATCTCAGGCTCCAGAGCAGGAAGGGCTGTCGAGATTCAGAGATGACAGGCACCAACCGGATCGAGAGAAAGTGGCATCATCAGAAGAGGAAGCCGAGAGAAAAACATGTCAGGGAGAAAAAAACGCCCAGACAAGGCAACAGGAAGGGCTGTCAAGATTCAGAGATGTCACGGGCAAAGCGGATCAAGCGAAAGTGGAGACGTCAGACAAGGATGTCAATAGGAGATCGAGGACAAAAAGGGCGTCTAAACGAAGAGAAAAAAGCGTGTCAAGAGAGAGAAATGTCAAGCAGAAAGAGTTCCAAGAAATGACGCAGTCAACGGCCGTGACAGGCAAGCGGTCAGGCTTCGTTCCTATAGGCCCCCCCTTTTCTTTATAGGCTTCCCCACGTTTCGAAACTTCCGTCACCCGGCTTGCCCGGGGTCGGCTGGTACATGCATATAAATATAATAACAATATCTATGTATCTATCTATCCATCCATCCATCTATCTATTTTTCTATCTCTAATTCTACTTATATTTAAATTTATGTCGCTTGACAAGAAACAACAACAGAAAATCATGAACCATTCTGTTTCTTCTGGTACAAAAGCATATTGCCAGCAAGTATGACCGAATGCTGCCCCTTCCCAAAGGCATTTGGAATTTGTGATCAGATGCAATCAGCAATTTGGATTCAGATGCCCATCTGCTGAGGCGACAAACAGTCCTTCGACATCAACTTGCGGCAAATGCGGCTTTGCCGTGCGGATCTCTGGCAAATGCGAAAAGCCCTCCATCAAGCGATCGCTCGAGAGACTGAAGAATCCAACAGAAGGCCAACAGAAAGGATAACAAGATCTTTGTCGCGTCTCCCCTATTCCTTCATTGAGCCACGATCATCGACACTCTACGGATCCCCTTTGGATCGTTTATGGTTAACTGTGGTGCACATGCAGCGTGCCCTGGAACGCGTTTCAGCCATGTATGCTCACTAAGAAAAGACCGCATGTTTCTCCACGCATTTCACGCCGTTTCACACATCATGTCTTTCATGATTTTTCATCAGTTTTCTTGTTCGCTGTACCTTCTGCCACACAAATCTTCCCCAACTTGCGAGGCTGTGGCCACCGACATGCCCGCACCGCTTCGAGCAAGCGCCAGTCAATGGCCTTGCGAAGAGAGACATGTTTAACACAACATGAAAAACGCGGGGCAAAGTGAAACAACTGAAACAAGTGTGAATTTTGAACGTTTGTGCTGGAATGAACGCACTAGGAGACGATCCGAAGTGGCAAAGTCTCAGAGAAGTGATTCCGGATACCCCATGGTCGTAATGCACATACGTGCCAAAACTCAAGAACTGCGTACTAGTATCGCAACCAAACATCTCGTTTCAATTCATTTCAGCGGTTTCCATGTTTGTGGATTGTGCCCAAAGATTGCGAAAACTGACATGGCGGTTATGAACGGGAGCTTCGGGTATGGGTTGCAGGTTCAACTATCCTTTAGGTGCCCACCTTTCCCAATGACAAAGCAGCCCTTTCTTGAGCCATGAAAAAGTCGGAGGGCACATAATTTGTTCGTGTCATCCGGCCTTCAGCAGGAGCCATGCTGTTTGCATGCTTTCAGTGCCAATCGCGCTCCCCCTTGCCCGCTGCACTCAGAACGCCTTCGGCTCATGGGAAACGCACTGTGGTTCACCATGTGATACATCTGGTTCAGGATGTGCCGCCTCTCCTCAGCGGTTGGCATGGTCAAGGCTGGAAGGCCTCATGCCTGTGAAAATGCGGGAAGCACATTTGCTTCCCACAGCTCGGCCTCACATAATAGACCGTGCCAAACCCGACTCGCCGACGGGGTACTTCGTCTGGCAGTCCATGCGTCGGTTGGTTCAAGAACACCTGGCTGCTTGAAGGCCAGCACCCCCACATTGGTCTTGCGCCCGCCTTGTTGGCATACTCAGAGGAGCCATCCTGGTCGACCTGCTTGTCGGCAGTGACCTCTACCTTGCTGCCACATGACAAGCCTCGCATTTTTTCTGTTTCCAGGTTTCAAAGTTGCGACCAGTTTGCCTGGTGTATGCTCAACATCAGTTCGGTGGCGGGGCATGTCCTTGCGGGCGGCTCTGATGTCATTGGTGCCCTCTGTCAAACTTGTGTATTCAGCCATTTCATTCAGAGGCACAGTTTGGGTCTGAAGGACCTTAGGCTCCACACATCCTTGAGGTTAAGCGCGGCCAGCGCACGCTCTCGCGCTCCTTGCTTTCAACCACCATGACCTTCATCCACATCCATTGGGAGGCGTTGTGATTCTTCCTGAAGGGCTGCAGTCCACCCTCGGTGCATCTTCCACGGAACCACCAAGAGGCCAGCGTTCGATCATCAAACTTGATGAACATGTCATACCTGGCAAGGCTGAGCTCGGACCAAAAGTTGAAGTTGCACCGGAGGCTGACCTTGATGTGCCAGTCCGCAACGTTGTTGAAGATGACATATATTGTGGGTTCCAAACAGACTGTGGTGTTCAGTGCCGCAACCAAGTTTCATCATGACCATGAAGGCAGAAGGCTCCCCCATGGGCCTACCCCCCAGGTTCTCCACCTCAACCATTCTCTCCCCATGATCTTCTAGTAGATTCTAGGCTCACCTTACCTCTGACTTGGAGCCAGGGCCATTTCTCAAGCTTGCATTCATCAGTTTTCGAAGCTCGTCACCCAACTGTTAGTACGGACTCGCCATGCCCTTGGTGAAGCACTTGCGCCGCAGCTTCGTCTTGACCAGCACCTTCACGTTGTATAGGGAAGCATAGCATGCTGCTTCAGATGAGTGCCGTGCCGCGGAGGGCCATTCCTCCACTTTTGCAGCAGCAGACTTGACTTGTGAACTGCAATATTTCGCTTCCTATATTCTCCCATTTGCGGGAGCATCGTCACCCGATGAGAAAGTTTGGAAAAGACTACGATGGCCTCCCCACGCCCGCACAGGTTTCGCTAACATTGCTTTGGCACGGTCTGAGTGGAGTTGGACAATTCAAACCCCAAGAGCCCGAATCGAAGCGGACCCACACCCGATCCAGGTGACATTTTGGATCTTGAAGGGAGCGGTGGCTTCTTCCATCTACTCTCTCCTTTTTTTGTTCAGCTTCTCAGACCTTTGGGGCCAGCCGCGTGCATCTGTTTGACTGACTCCTTGATCGTTTGAATCAACCCGAACCCCATGACGACCAGCAAAATGGTTTGCTTGAGACGCTGAGGCTCGATGCCCGTCTCATTCTCCCCGCGGTGCAACCCCTGTAGTTCATCCATACCTGGAAAGTTCATCAAGACGCTAGGCTGGTTGGGCTTCCGCCGGCTGCGGCCACATTTTCTATGATCCAGCGAGATCACTTCCAGGCCGAACTTCTTGGCCAAGGCTTCAAGCTCGCTAGGCAGCTGGATCCCTCCTTGCCAAGGTACTCACGTGGGGTGTTCCACCGGAAAGCCAGTGATCCCTGGTTGCAAAGCAACCACAATCGCAGCCGTTTTCAAGATCACAGCATCTTCCCCTCAAAGGACGCGGTCCAGGAGCCTTGTGTCGAAGGCAGGAGAAAGTTCTGCATGGCGGTCCACCCACCAAAACTTGTAGCAGACCTCGGCGGGCACATCATCAAATAGGCCCAGATGGCATGGTTGGAGATTGCAAGTTTTCAGTGCTGTTGGAGGCCACATCAAAGGTAATCACCTCGTAGCCAAGCGTCTGCAAATCCAGCCACTTTCTACTCGAATTCTCATCCTTAAAGAAGAGGTGCAGGACAATGGCGTTGGCCGATTCAAGCTGCCTTCGTCTCTGGCGATTTCATGGTAGCCCTTTAAGATAATTTCTCCAATCAATGCGCTGGCCCTTCATCGAGGACCCCTTCACCAACTTGGCCAGCAGCTTCATCGTCCCCAGCATGTGTAGAAGGGCAAGACCATCAGCTCGATCCATGACTGGACAACCTCGGAGTCGCCAGCCGCTTGAAGTGGTAGCTGGCCTCGATCAGCTGACGAAACGGTATTATCGGCGCAGCATTTTCTTTGGAGGGCAAAGTGCTACAGCCAGCTTTTCGAAAGAGGGTCCGCTGCACCTGCAATTTCTTCCGGACGTCCTTGACGTAGACCATGAGGGCTCCTCCGTCAAGTAGTGCCATGCAGTTGTGTTAAACCATCAACAATTTTCACCCGCCCTCCTGATGACCAGGCCCCCGGTGCTGCTTTGAGGTTCACCATGTGGACCACTAGCACCAAGTTGATCGCCGCCATGACCCATAGCACAGCGGATTCCGAGCCCCAGCGCGATCCGGTGTCCTCATCAAGGCTTGTATACTCCATGAGGATCGGAAGGATGCCGAAGCAATGGACCATAGCCAGGTTGCCCCCCCTTGTGCAGGAGGATGCCCTTGTTGGTGTTCAGCATCCCCTTAGACCACAAGATCACCTGTGGAGCAGGTGGAAAACCTTCAGGTCGAACAACAAGTGGATCCAAGCGCAAGAGGACCCAAAAGACCTCCGCCGGCAACCCCTTGAGTTCCTTGATCACCAACGTCACGTTGACCTACACCCGGTCATTTCCTCCAGCTCTTTAACGTCATTGTTGGCCCCCATGGCGGGAAGATGTTCAGGTCCCCCCAGAGCTTCCTGTGGAGCAGCTTGCCATCCCAGCTTCGCCTGGGGGCCACCCACGTCACCTCTTGAGTTCCACCCCAGCTTGGGCTTGTTCCCTGTTTTCCACCACTCGCGCCCTCAGATCAGGCGACCCCGCTGCAGTTCCCAAGTCCTGCAATAGGTCATCCAACATCTCAACGGCAGTCCTCTGGTCTGCCTCAGGACTCATCTCTTCCTCCACCATCAGAACCACAGCGTCAATGATGCATCATGACTTCAGAACCTCTTGGACCCAAAACCTGCGGTTGAACTGGGGCTTCGGGTATGGGTTACAGGTTCAACCCTTTAGGCGCCCACCTTTCCCAATGACAAAGCAGCCCTTTCTTGAGCCATGAAAGAGTCGGAGCATGCATAGTTTGTGCATGTCATCCGTCAGCAGTGCCAATCGACCTAAAATGGCTGAAGCGGTTTGAATGGGCTACAGGTAGCATACCAAGGAATGAAAGCCATGCGACAAATCACATGTGGGAAGCGCGCATAAAGATGCATAAAGAATTGAAAAAAATGTTTTGATCTGGGGCGGGCCTTGTCAAAGAAAGGGACCAGTTCAGCATCGAAGTCCTGCATGGAACTCAAGATGTCTCAACAATGCCCCTCAGCAAATTAGTCAGATTATGTCAGGTTGTATCAGGTTCCAGCCTCTCTCAAGGGTGCCAGCAGCAACTCATCCTCTGGTTGGAAGGAGAGCAGTTCAAGTGCCTCCCTGCAAGGTGGGGACAGATTGCGGAGTATCCAATGCATCCAATAGATTGGGGCCCAACATAGATGCAACAACATCTTGTACAACATGTAAACATGCAAAGCACCTACTAAGAGTACAACCTCAAAAATTCAACGCACACAAAACGAATAAAACAGTCACAATTTGCAATCGTGTTAACTCATGTCAACTCATCATGCCTGGTGAACTCCTCAAAGAGTTTGGTGTCACAGTCAGGGATCCAATCGGCCTGGTCCAGGCGCTGCAGTGCTGCTGCAGTGTCACAGTCGTGCAGGAGCCATTTATGATCACTGAAATTTGTTGATAGAACTATCACGCATGAAATACGCATGATACACAGGTTGGCACACTTTGGAATGTCAACTGAGTCAACTAAAAGAAAAGCAGGACAGTTGAAGTGTGAAGGTTTCAACAGGAAAAGATTAGGAGGGTCGACAGGTTGCACAC